CCAGGCTGGCCAGGCACCCAAGCGGGACCCCCACCCTGATCCGGGACACCCTTCAGGGCAAACCAGCCGGCCCCCACCCATGCACCAGGCCTCTATCCTATATAGTAAAAGGGTAATATGCAAACTGACCCTAACAGCAGAAAGACTGGGAATGACTGGTCACTATGACACACACTGACCACCAGGGGGCAGACGCTCAATGCAGGAGCTGCCCTCTGGTGGTCAGGGCGCTCTCACATGGGAGGAGCTCTGCTCAGCCACAAGCCAGGCTGATGGCTGCCAGTACAGTGGTGGTGGTGGGAGCCTCTCCTGCCTCCTCAGCAGTGCTAAGGATGTCCTACTCTAGCTTAGGTCTGCTCCCCGCTGGCAAGTGGACATCTCCTGAGGGCTGCCGGGCTGCCAGAGGGATGTCTGATTGCCAGCTTAGGCCCAATCCCCTGGGGAGCAGGCCTAAGCCAGCAGGTGGTCATCCCCCGAGGGGTCCCAGACTGGGAGAGGGCACAGGCCGGGCTGAGGGACCTCCCGCCCCCGAGTGCACAAATTTTTGTGCCCCGGGCCTCTAGTATAAAATAAACTATGACGCGCTCCTGCTATGACGCTCACTGACCACCAGGGGGCAGCCGCTCAATGCAGGAGCTGCCTCCTGGTGGTCAGTGCACTCCCACAGCAGGAGTGCTGCTCAGCTGATCAACCTGTCCTGGGGACCTGCCACCCCAGCAGCAGCCACTCACTCCCTCAGTAGTCCTGCAGGTCCAATCTCTGGAGAATGGGCCAGGCACCAATGGACCAGCGCCGCCAGCATGATCCCAACAGTGCCTCCGGCCTCCTGGAAGTTGGTCTCGGGCACCGCAGCTGCTTCCCCTCCTTAGATGCTTCACAAGGAAGAAACTATAAAAGCAGCTGCCAGGTGGCTCCCAACAACCAGTGCAAATGTCAGCAGGACAGATCCTGATCCCAGGCTGGCAAGGGCATCCCACTGCCTGCCCGGAGGGCCGATCATGTACTACCCCTCCCCCCCCTTAGGACGGGCGCCAGATGCAGGGCTCACTACCCCTCCCCCCCTTAGGACGGGTGCCAGATGCAGGGCTCATGGCTGGTGAGTGCTGCTGTGGTGGCGCAAGCCTCTCCCAATCAGGGCTGACTGGACGCAAGCCCACCGCAGGCGCAGTGGGACTGGGATGAGCGGAAGTGGCAGGCAGTATTGGACTTCCTGTTTCGGCCCAATCCCCACAGGCCATGCCGAGGAACCCCACCCATGCACAAATCTGTGCACTGGGCCTCTAGAAATTAATAATAATACAAGAATAAACTCATGTACTTGCAACTGTAAACCTACTTTTGCCCCACCCTGTATGTGAACTGATCATGATTATTTTTCCATAAAACTAAATGTGCCTATAATCCACTAGTCATTATCAATGGAAGTGGCTATACTAAGGTTGACTATAAGGAATGGAATGATTTCCATGTGTAGGTTTTAGAATTAATATTTTATCACCAAATTTTGCATACATACCGTTAATTACCTGTAGTGTTTGGAAATTCTAAAATTATCATATGTTAATACTACAATATCTATTTTTAAAAGCCTTTATGTTTTCTAATTATTTTGGCTGAACTTTTCACTCATATTAGTCATAAATTAGCCATAATGTTTCAAATAACTACAATTTTATATGTTACATAACCATATGAAATATTTAAGGTCAATAAATTGATATTCAAGTCCAAACTTACAGTTCAATTGCCTTGTTCCACATGATGACATATCCAGAAAGAATGAAAGATTCAATATTTACAATATGTGTATTTCCTCTTTCTGTTCCAACATAGAGCCATTTACTCTGGAAAGGTAGATGACAGTAAGTAATTCTGAAAGAAAGAAAATTACAATTAAAATATCTAACTTTATGTCTGTTCAGCATGATAGCATTAATTTTCCTTAAACTTACTATGTAGTGATAGCTACATAAACAATAAAATTTACTATATACTCAAATAGCATTTAGTTATTAGTGAGGGTATAGAATAAATAACAGTATAATGTTAAAAACCATAATGATAATACCCACTATTAAATATGTATCTAACCTAGGCACTAATATTATTTCTAATTCTGAAAACAGCACTACAAGTCAGATGTATACTTCTGTTTTATGAAGAGGAAAACTAAGGTAAAAAAAAATTATTTTTACTTGTCTAGGACTGACAGCTAATAAGTGGCAAAACTGGAATTTAAATCTATTCTTGTTTGATTGTAAAATTACCATCTTTCTATCAAGCTACGCTGTTTGCTTGTTGTTTTTTTAGTAATGTTCAGTTCAAATTAGGTAGATTTAAAACATAAATTTCAGAGTTGTCAGAGAGTTTGTCTACTTAAGATGATAAATTATCTACTTTTTATTCAGATGCTTGGCATCTAAGTAATATAAAGAAAATTTATAAGGTCAGAGATACACTGTACTTATTCCCTTTTGTTTGTTTGTTCTGCCTCATTTTCATTTTCACAATGGACTTTCTGGCCAACTCTGGGAGCCTGTTCCATAGCCAGTGCAACCATAACTTCTATACATGAAATCTGGACATTTAACAGAGTCTTCTCTTCAAAGCATCATCACTCTTTCTAGTTTGACCTACTCAATCTCTTTAATAACTCTTAAAAAGGACAACAGGGCCCTAGCTGGTTTGGCTCAGTGGATAGAGTGTCAAGAACACATGCCCTGGTTGTGGGCTCGATCCCCAGTAGGGGGGTGCAGGAGGCAGCCGATCGATGATTGTCTCTCATTACTGATGTTTCTATCTCTCTCTTCTTCTCCTTTCCTCTCTAAAATCAATAAAAATATTTTTTACAAGAAGAAAAAACATTTAATTATATAACAATTCTTAATCTTTAGTATAAGTAAATATCTCATTAAAATGCATATTCCCAGATTCCAGCTACACAAATAGTGACTCCATGGAATGGGACATATGACTAATATTTTAACAAGTATCCTCAGTACTTGCTATTAAAAATTAAGTCTATAGACCAGCAGCATGAATATCACCTGGAAGCTTAGTAGACTTAGAATCTCAGGTTCCACTTCAGAATCAGAAAATGCATTTTATGAAGAACCTCAGGTGAGTCATATACACATTATGGTTTCGGAAGCACTTCTCTAGGTGATTCTTATACAAATAATCTATAAACTACATTATAAGGAACACTGTTCCGTGGCTGAATACTGCTTACTTACTCTCAAGTTTCAGAATGAGAACATAAATTGGTAAGTTAATAGTGGGGGTAATGCATTGTCACTATGTAGTCGCCCCAAAACAGCTGATGATAATTATGATGATAATAAGCTACCCTAGATCCCCTCAGCATCTTAAGTCAAAGACTGATACTTAGGAATTTTTATGAAAAAAACTTCAAATCATATGAAAGAAAAGATGAAGAATTAAAAATTTTTTAAGAAAAGCATCTGATAATTTTGTACAATCTGTACCTAGCTAGAACTATAACACAAGAGACAAAATTAAACAGATAAGTAAAAATTTAGTTGCATTTCATTCACAGAATTAATGGGCTATTAATCAAGATACCAAACAGTAAAAAAAAAAAAAACTGGCTCAATTTTGTTGTCTATAGTTAGTTGTAAAATACCAAACATAAGACAACTTTTAAAAATAAGTCTAATCTCTGCAGTTTCATAGGAAATAAGTTCATAATTCCTAACAAATGAAACTCTGAGAAGTTTATTCTCATTCTCCTACAGCAAAAGAAATAATATTTTCTACTTTTATTTAAATTCATAGATTTATAAAATAGAAACAGAGGTATGGATACATGAAACAGACTGACAGCTGCTGGGGGTTGGGGAGGGCTGGATGAAAGAAGGTGAAGGGATTAGCCAAAGAACATACATGTATAACCCATAGATACAGACAACAGTGTGGTGATGGCCAGAGGGAAGGGGAGTGTGGGGGCTGGGTTGAGGTGAGCAAGGGCAGGGAGTTGGAATGAGGACATCTGTAATAGTGTTAATAATAAAAATGAAGTTTAAAAAATTCATAGAATATTTAATTTCTGAATGATAGAATTGTGTTAGTGAAGGCCGTGTGGGAAGCAAGAATAAATCACTAGTTACTGACCAACAGGAATTAATCAACCTTTATAGAATAATCTGATCAACTATGGAGAAATAGGTATTCTTTTCTAGCATCCACAAACATATACCAAGATAGACCACATCCTGATCTAAAAAGCAAACCTCAACAAATCTACACTAATAAAAGAGAAACATGCAAATTGGTGTCACTCTGCTACCCTTCCCATTGGCTAATCAGGACGATATGCAAATTAACTGCCAGCCAAGATGGCGGCCGGCAGCCAGGCAGCTTGAAGCGAACATGAGGCTTGCTTGCTTCAGTGACGGAGGA